GGAGTCGTGTTTGCGGAAGATGCTGAGGGGCCGGGTGACGATGTTCGCCATTTTGGTTATGTTCAATGCTGCTTTTCTGTGGGAACAGAGAGATGGCTCATGGTACGGAGTACTCCGTACTGATGTTGGGATCGGAGTATATAGAGATGACACTGGCAGCCGAAGCTGGGAGAGCAGTCTGGGGGTACGAGGCTGCTCTGCAATGTCCAAGCGCGAGGGCTCAAAAGACAAGGATAAGGCACAGATGATCTTGACGGATGACCACCATCAATCTATGCAATGCAGGACAAGGGCAGGACAAGGGCAGGCTTCAGTCACAAGCACCACCAGAGCAAGTCTGCGGACAAGCTTGAGACTCTTGTCGACCAGGACGACAACGGGTGTATATAAGCTTATCCATGCTGGATATCCAGTTAACGCTGCTGTTTTCCAATTATGTTTCATCATCCACTGAGTCTCTGAAACAGCCACAAACAGCTTAAGCTTGCATCGATCCGGTCGATCAGGTTGCCAACATTAGCAACAAACAAAGACGCTCTATTGCCGCCCGGCGTATTAGCGTCAATTAACAGGCATTGCAGCAGGCTAACATATCCATTCTTAGAAACTTATCCATGTAAGACAGCGAGGATATTTCGAATTAGTCTGGAATATGCAGTCAAGTACCATAATTAGTATCCTTTGCAGGTTGCTTGCGGGATAATTGTGCCAAATTTAGTTCAGCACTAGGAGGGCTGAGGTTGCAGCGCAGAGCGAAGCGCCCAGTGAGACCTCCTCAGCACTAGCTGGAGAAGACGAAACACACTAATTATGCAGAATTCTGTTTGTTAAATGAATTAATATCCTAGTCCTGCATGCAACTGATTTGGTCAGTGGATTGTCAGCTCATGAGGGGTTATTGTGGCCAACTCGGTGTCTTCGACTATAGAGAGCAAGCTTGAAATGGCATAGGATAGTATAAGAGGTGCATCTATTGATCGTCTGCTCTAATACAAATCAACCCTCCCTCTTGCCCACAAAATAGTTAAGGACGCCGTTTCAAGAATGCTGTGGTATGACCTGTGAACCTGTCAAATGACCCGAAAACCAACTCCGAGTCCTTTTCTAAGGCCGCCGTGTATGTACTGTCTAATCGAGGCTTCCCCGTCGCCAGAAACGCCTTTGCAGGCATCGGTGTAGCTTCCAAAATCAAGGTCTAGAACCCAAGGCAACATCACATGCGAATGAAAGCCGTAAATAGTGACCATAGTACGAAATGGACTGCTGCTCGTGGTCCCACATGCTGGACAAATGCTCGAAAAAGAGGTCGGATAGAGTGCTTGGTAAGTTGACTTCTTGTCGAGTCTCTAAGTGGAGTTCCCAACATCCCGAGATGGACCCTGGTGTCATTATGATGGGAAGGCATTTATAGTGGCCACTCTGATTGTGTCTCAGCTGTAAGAGTGACGGGTTGACGACCCAGTCGAGCCCCCATGAACTGCAGGTGTCATCTGTAGTAAGCTGTGTGGAGGTGATATCGTCTTTGAGTACAACGACATTCGGGTGCTGGCATTGTCGGCAGAGTGCGTAGATGATGACCAACGTGATGCGCCTACGGAGGGACTCATCACGGACGCGGCTGATGTTAAGAACGGCCGGGTTCGAACAGGGCTCTGCTGACCACACCGTGATCCTGGCTGCACACCCGCTGACGATCCCCATGAGGAGCCCCGTAAAAGTACTGGCCGCTCTTGAGAGGATAGATCGGTTTCGTCATAATCGAAGTCGATACAATATGTTCCGTCAACGGTCAGGTCCCTCGGGCGGTCGTCGTTTCGATCTCGAATCTTCTGTCCAACTTCGCCTGAACGAACAACACTCAAGGTATATGACTGTTCGGCGAGAAATTCGCTACGAGACCGCCTCACTTGTGCTATGGATCGACGGCCAGAATTGGGACGCATTCGCTCCATTCGCTCCACTCCATGATCGTACGAGCTTCTCCGGTTGAGCATGCGTCCGCGCCCTCCACTGCTATCGAGCGAATCAATCGAATGCCCATTCAACCCTTGGTACCTCAAGTCAACCAGGCTAGGACTGAAGGCAACTCGCACGCGCATCTGCTGGATGGCCGAGTCCAATGCGAGCTCTATAGCACAGTGATTCCTGATCCGTCCGAGTTTAGGCCAAGTCGCGCGTTCTCCGCTGAGACACGCCTGAAGCATGAATTCAGTGGTCGGGTTCTTGAGGATTCGAGGGAAATTTGCGTAGAGAATCTCCGGGTAAATATTGATATCTCCGTAATATTTCTGGTTCATGATGGACGCAGCTTTCGTGAGCGATGTGGGGAAGATACCAAGATCCGACAAGACCGTCATCCGGTGTAATATTTCGTCCTTGGCTAGATGTGTCACGGTGTGAAGCCAGCTAGGTGAAGATGAGGTTTGCATTGGCCCGTGGCTGGGACCATCGTCCTTCGGAAGGAAAGGAACCACATGAGGATTCACCTGTGAGACGATGAAATGATTGACATTGAACATCTCAGACAACCTGGTCATGGGCAAATCTCCATCCACTGAGCCGTCAATGTACTGCTTGTGAAAATCAGTCCAAGGGACCGCTTCTCCGGTCAATGGATCCTTGGCCATCAGCACAAATGGCGTGAAAACCAGCGGTACTGAACAGGAAACAGCTCTATAGCAAGTCAGAACACAGCTCGGCCAAGCTATCGAGGGTATGTTGAGCATCAGGATAATAATACTTACACAGCAGACCAAATCATCACATTGGGTGCGGTAATGTAGTTCAACAACCTTGGAAGTTCGTACACTCCGGCACTGGAGACACAAATGTTCAGTATCCTCCTCGTCCTATTGTATGCTTCCTGAAATGTAATGTCGCCAAGCCAGTTCCGCATGACTCTAGCAAGATGCGAAATGTCCAAAAAGGAGCCATATTTTAAGAACCGCGCCGTTTTCTGCAAGATATTCTCCTCCTTTCCTTCCTCGTCAAAGACGGCGAAATCTCCGTAAGCATAAGTATCCAGAAGCGCTGGTAACTCATCGTCCGTACGTGTGCAGAAAACGGCACAGACGATACTGCCTGCTGAGGCGCCAGAAATAATGCGGGGAAGCAGTTTTGCTTCCCACAGGGCTTTTAGTACTCCAATATGGTTCATTCCGAACGTGGCGCCTCCTGAGAATAGTAGAGCACTTCGACCAAACGCCTGTCGCGCGGCGAGAAGCTGATCGAGCATATACCTCAATTCCAACACATCACACTTCTTTCCAGCCAGTTCCACCAACATTGATATCGTATCGAGCGCCGTCGTGATGTACCGGTCGATCAAGTCCTTCGTACCGACATGAGAATGCCTGTACAGTGCCGCATTGCTCATATTTCCCAGATCGCGACTCAGCGAAGTGCGAATCAGAAAAAGCATCCGGCTTACGTCACAACTGATGCGGGCCTCTTCCAGCTGTTTGAGACGCTCTTGCACAAGGTGAGGGTTGTATTCTGAACATTCGAACGTCTGTTTCCAGGTGTTATTGTCCTCTAACTCGTCCAGTTCGCAGGCGCAATTCCTCCACTCCTCGTACGAGACTGCCTAGACCATGAATCTGATTTAGCGAAGGACCGACAGCGGCAATGGAAAGAGGAAGGCTAGCGACTTACATTACGCATTCTGAGGTACAAAATCTGCTTGCGGTCCTCAATATCCGTGAGCGCCTTCCTTTGCTCTCTTGAGGCTCCATCGCGATACGCAGTTAGGGTATCCCCAGCCCATGATAGCGAGTTCCGCACCACCGACGGTAACGAGGGGATGGAAATCGATCTCGATAGAATACGGCGCTTCCGTGCCGGGGTCGATGAGACATTGAGCTGACTCCGGGATTTGACACCGCCGTAACATTTAGGTTGCACAATAGGCGAGTCATGAAAAAGCGACATGGTAGTAGGCGTCACGTTGAGGGAGAGCCATCCATTTGGCAAATGTAGAGAGGGAGGAGGAACAGAGAAGAAGTTGACCAGAACAAAGCATGAAGATAGACTAGAAGGATGCCAGACAATCTTCTGCAGTCCTCACTTTATACGTCAAGGAGAGCACTTGGAAAATAAAAATATAGAGAATGGAGGCGAGAATGAATGTGAATGTACTTCAAGCGGGCTGCCCTTGCCTTGGTAGCCTGCACTCTGCAGCATAGCAACCCCAGAAAATCAGCGTGGGGTTTGGCAGTCAGCAGCGATTCAGACGTCACGCGGGCAGACTTGGGCCTCAGGTGTGGAGTCTTCGGAGGCCATCGCCCATCGCCACATGACGCCTGCTCCAGACTCCCACTGTTTCTGTGCATTCCTCCTTTGATGCTCCTCATTATCCTCATTTTCTTCGTATGAGGACTGGAGTAGAGCGCAGTACTTGCGCTATCTGATCTGCTGTTTTGTTCGCCCTTGATCAGTTATATTTTATGCTGGACACCTGACGTCATCCGCTTGTTCTCCAGCCAAATACTCCTTGTGCGCCTGAGTCATGATAATTCCTGTCTGGGAATACAAGCATGTGACAGGATTATTGACAGGCCAACATACAATTCAGGCACATCAGGACTTATATCCATGGAAATCACAAGAGAATTGGCTGGAGTCTTCGTCTTGCATTCAAACAGTATCCACTGAGTGAAAGGATCTATTGAGTAGAGACAATCTCCTATATATTATAGCCTCCTAAGTTGACCACCACCATCACCTAGCAGTCACCATATCGTATGGGGGATGTCGACATACGAAATGATCCCATTGTAAATTGCCGTGCTATTATTGGACAGTATGTTCGACCCTGGTCAGGCTGTTAGCCCATCGCGTCTACTTCACAGTGACTCGAACTTGGTACAAAAGACCTTCCTCATGAGTACTGAAGTACAGTCGATGATGGTCACCATGTTGCCGCCCAAACTTCGCTGCCGTTGGCCCATCCACAGCTGTCGACCTGCTGCTGCCTCCAGGATGGACAACGCGGACTTCGTTCAAGGGCCCAGAGCAATATATGCTGTCCCGTTTTCGTCCAGAGTGAAGTCGTCTGGCTCCGTCAGAATTGAAGCAACGATCTCGGATGCACCGCATGGCTTCCCGTCCTCATTGATCTTAATTCTGGCCAGGAGACCAGCATCAGTGTTGGTCCAGTAAAGATATCCTCTGAAGACCTTGATCCCATTGACACCGGTTTTCCCTTCTGAACCTGAGCTCTTCTTCATCAGAGGGTCATCGACGATCACATCATATGCACCAGTCCGGACATCGACCTTATAGACCCATCCATTATAGGAATCGGAAACCAAGATAGCGTCTTCATTGAGCGTCGTGGCTCCATTCACGAGCTGAGAGCCATCGAGGTCGGTGAGTTTCGCCACTGTGGCATTCGAGAGCACCTCTCCTGTCGAGGACACCTCCAAATTATCAAAATCGACCCGGAATATGTAATCGGTCGAGTTGGGTAATAATATCATATTCTCGTCGTACTGACCAGCCACGGCCACATAGAACTCGTCGTGTCTGGTCTCTGTGATTCCCAAGACACCGGCATACTTGCCAGCACTGGCACCTTCGGCCCAGCAAATAGGCGGCAAATTCCCATCGGGATTGACTTGCAAGATCTGCGGGTGGAGCAGATGGGTGGCCAAGACCTCGCCTGAGTGTCGGATGGCAAGATTTTCTATCCAGGAACTAGGTCCAAAATTGGCGACCTGTTTGACTTGCAGATCCATAGGCCATTGAGAGGCTGATATAGCCGCAGTGGGAGATGCCGAAGCAAGGCTAAGAAGGGTGGAAACCAAAATGAATTCGCCAGAAACGAGCATGGTCTTGGAAAAAGACAAATCTGCTCGTTACTCTCGGCTTGGAAATGTTTGAAGCGATGCCATGAGGAAGAACGTCGCATTGAATGCGCGGGTTATACAGTCCTATATACTTTCGATGCTTAGGCCGCCCCGTTTCCCTAGAGTGCTTCTCTCTTCACCCATCAGGTCCCAAGCTCAGAAAGAGGCGTTATGCAGCTGCTCAATAATCTCGATCATAGAAACCCACTTTGATTGCATTAAGCCTTTTCCAGGATGTCGGCGGCCTGAATCGGTAGCAGTTGACAAGGCTTGGTGAGTCAACTGTTATGGAGCCATGCAGATCGGTCTCTTTGAAAGTTTTTTCTTTGCACTTGGTGATGAATTCCAAACCTCTAGCCGCTGATTTTGTGTGTTGAACCCAAAGGAGAGCCTAGGACAGCGACGCTCTTGGTCGTGATAATTATCTAGTGCTTACGCTGACGTGCGATCGCAAGAATGCCTTTCAGACAAGCTTCCAACACGCAGAAATACTCCTTGGACCTGTTTGGTTGATACAGTAGCTTTAGGCCACCCAAAACACACTTTAGCGTGTAAGCCGATTATAGGCGGATGCCTTGCTTGCGGCGGACTAGCATCATTTCGCAGCCACTATTCTGCAGTGTCCATTCTTGAAGAGGACAAGCATTGTGAATGCGTGTCGAATTGAACACATCATGTCCGGCTGAGTGTAATGTGGTTAAATGAGCCCTGCATCCGGTCTATATCAACAGCAGAAGAATTATCGTTGGCGGTGGAGTTATTAAAATGGAACCCGAGGACTCATTGAGTTGATTCGACTGCGCTGCGAGGTAGCAACTTGGCATAAATTATCATAAAGGTCTCCTCATCGATCGTAGGAGCCGTGAGCTTCGCTTGCACGATCATGGAATGTGATGCAGCCAAGTCCTCAGAGCTACCCTTGCTCGGGATTCAACGCCTTTCTCTCGCCAGAAATGGCCGGCGCCGTCGATTTCGGCCGACTGAAATTGACTGAGAGCCGCTTCAGAAAGATCGCTAGCCCACTTGCGTAGCTTGTGGGCGGAAGTGAATGTGTCGTGATTTCCGTAGATTGCCAGTGTTCTGTGTGAGCAGAGCTGGTCGGCTGGCTTCGGGCAGAGAACCTGTTTACTCTGTGTAGGGGTCTTTACTGCCAAGCCGGAAGAGAGCTTCGAAAAAGACGTGAGAAGTAAGTTGACAGGCGGCAGAAGAGGTGAAACGAGAAGGTATGAAATTGTTGTTCGAGTAACATCCTCAACAGTCGTGCTACATTCTCTGGAGGCGAAATTGCTCGATGTCGACGGCATGTCTGTGCCTCGGACACTCTTTATCGACTGAGCTGAGAGCTCCTTCGCAGCTTGGCGTATTTGGTGAAATGATGTACCGATATCGCCCTCTGCGAACAAGCGTGCTACCACATCGACTGTTGGCAGATGTGAAGCGATCATCGACCCGTAGGAATAACCTCCTAGAATGAGATGAACTTCCCCGGAAGCGCTTCTAGAGTCACCAGCTGATTCGGCTGGTAGAGCAGAACTCGGATCTGGGCCCTTGTCCTCCTGTCGGGTGTGGTCTTTCAACGAATGCAGGTAATGGAGCATAAATCCGTAGAAGGAAACATAGTCCGCCAATTCAGGCTTTGCTGTCCAGCTAGTTCGACCTCCGGATTCACCAGCTCCGCTATTGACAGAGTCAATAAAATATCTTCGAAGCAGTGACGGCGAAATACATCATGGGAAAAACATGGCCCATCCTAAAGACTCACCGAAAGTTGAAGGTGCCCACCACAAAACAGCCTCTGAGGACCTCCCCGCCAATAAAGCCCACTACCGGATCATCATAGCACCCTCCAAGAGGAGCATATGGATGGGCTATTATCGCACCTCGTATGTGCCACTTGCGAGTACCATCCGACTGCTGCAGCTCGAGAGGCAAATAGAGACGGCACTCTAACTCAGTCCCGTCGTGAACCGAAGGGATGTTGAAGCTGTAAGTCGGGGCAGGAAGATGCATCTCAATGGACACCGGCTTGTTTATTTTTGTCTTCCTGCCCTTGCTAATGAGTACTAGCTTGTGGCAATCTGTAGCCGTTGGGTTGTCAAGATGAAGATGCGGATATATATAGTTGTGACTTATGTTGGGAGGGTCAAGACGAGTCGGAAACATTCGTGCACGGTCTTTTTATGGCTCCAGAGGCTTCGGTTGGTGATTTACTATGGTTGACCCCGTTGGTTTTGTTAGTACGGTGGGCCTTGCAGGGATTTGGATCCTAGTATCCATTACCGCCTTCCTAATTAGTATTATATGAAGCTAATAAGACCTCCTGTCTTAGTGAGCAATCAACACGCCATGCCTACCCCCAAACCTAGCACCCCCCCCTCAGCAGGCAGCTGAGCAGAGGGGTAATTCTATATGCCTTAGCCATAATGATTAAATATGTGTCCTTACCCTCCAAGAAGCTGGCTTTACTTATCAACAGATTGCAGATCAGCTTTAAAATCACACACCACCAGGTTTAGTACACCTGCCAAAGCCAGCAAATGACGCCTAGGAAGGCTCCAGGCAGCTACCAAAGCTCTCTGAGGAAGATGTTAATAATATTATAGCATTTATCTCTTCCTCTAAGAGAAATCGCCGCATGCCTTTCAGCAGAATCTGTCAAGAGTTTGATCTACCTATTGACTAACTACCCTTGCTCATACACTTGTACCCCTCAGTTTGTCTGTCGTAAGTTAAATCGAGTTCATCTCCCGAGCACCACAGAGGCTACTGCTCGGAAGGAAGATTCCGTGAGAACCTATGCTTTTTGTTGGAGTTGAACTTCCGTACGGTGAGATTTCTCCATTGGGAGGACAGAGGCCGCACGGAGCTTCTCTTCCAAGCAGGACCCTCACTCCGTAGAGAGGACTGACTCCAGCTGGATACATTGGTCCGCAGGGAGCTTCTGTTCCGCTGGGAGGACGAACTCCGCACGTATGCGAGACCCATTTGGAGTGGGACCTTCACCCGAAGATCCACATGAGTCCTATACAGCAAGCATCCGCAGGACAAGGTCCAGCCGATCCGACATGATTGCCACGCCGAAATTTCGGCGCGCCTTCCATGACTGAACTCAACTGTGTTGACGTTCGTAAGGCTACGTCTTCGGCCCCATACTTGTATCCTCAGCCGTTCCTCTTCGTCCAATCTCTCTTGCTCCGCCTGGGCTTATCGATGACACGCCATACTTATAGCACTTGCATGAAAGTATGGCCTATTATAACGTGTAGCTAGCCAAACAGAGGGTTATATAAACACGTACTTTTGAAATTTATAACCAAACAAACAAACCGGAAGATGATGAGACAACAATTACTGGGAGCTCTCCATTTTACGCAACGCTACTGCGGTGCTAGCCAATATGAATTTTGTCAAAAAACTATCCCAGCAGTCACTCATCTAAGCCCCGATCCAAAAATTCAACATCTAGATCGTCTAGACAGAACGCCCAATCGCCCTTCTCCTGGTCTTGAGCCCTAGCATAGATCTCAACCATATTAACCTTTCGCCCCCAGGATGACCCGAACATAGTAAGATTATAATACTCCATCTCCTGATAGCCCCCTTCAGTGTAAGCAAACCATGTGTTATACACATTCTGTGCTCTTGAGTCGCGTATCTCCCATGCTATAATCTCTAGGACTAGGTCGCGCGGTATATTCCCGAGTGGCTTAACAGAGAGCCCATTAAGGTTAAAAAAGCCCGAAAGTCCCGCAGCATGTAGTTTAGCTAGGTTAGATTCCCAGCGTGGCCGAATTGGATAACTATATCGGGCGTGGGTGCTGAAGAGCGCATTTGGCTGAGAGGACGCACAATCTACGTTGCGAATAGAGATAGAGCCCAATGATGCCGCGGTATGGGTGTCAATAGCTGTAAAACTACTGAAGTTCAGGTATGAATAGGTTGATATAGGTCCAGACCCAGTTTTATTATCTGTCGGCACATCATCAAACTAAGGCTTAGTTAGATCGGCTGGCCTATTTTCAAAAGAATAATACATGTTACGCACATGGAGAGTAGAGTTGTATCTAGGGATGTAGAGTTTAGTTTTGAGCAGTAGGCTCTTTTCAGTAGTATTTTTAGTAATGTTGGCACCTAGCACGGCTTGGATGTTCTGAGCTTGAGTTCCTAGTAGGAGAAAGAGTAAGCCCGCCAAAAATATAGGAAAAGATATAGCCATGCTGAGGGGAATTAGATAGAGAGCATAGTTGCTATCTATGGGTTGATGAATACCTTTTCTATCTTAATATTAGCCTATAAGTAGATGCAGCCTAAATACCTACGGTCCAAACGTTACAAGCCAAGGCCCTACTAATAAGTTCTTTTTATCAGCCCTCAATTCATTTTGTTTGATGATGCCCAGCTTATCGAGCGCAAGAGAAGAATCCCCACCTTGTTACCAGTCAGCCTGGCTTTGTGCCTTATAATATGAGCATAAAGCCTCCACGGTGAACGTGACACATTTGAAGCACGGCCATTGTGGAGAACGTGAGCTTGGGGGAAGCATGAGAGCATTTAGCGCTATAGCAGAGTATCTTACGTGTTGTTGCCTGCTGGGGCCAACCACTGAAGAACTGTCTGGATCCAAGAGAAGTATCCAGATGATCACCAACTATCATACAATGCTTTGTGAGAGGTGGTTCGAGCTGCGTGGGATGCCGTTCCTAAGAGTTTCCTTAGGGATCTAATTAAATCTATGCCAGCCAGATGTCAGGCAGTAATTAACGCAGAAAAAGGTCATACAAAATATTAGACAATTACTAGATAGCGGCAGAATCAATATGATTTATTCATTGCGAAGGCCCACCGTACTAACAAAACCACTGGGGTCTATCACGTTCGCTCAGGCAAAATCAACAGATATGGTAGCATTCGGAAGAAATACTAAGTCTAGAGAAGAGGAAGAAAAAGTATGTACACAGAGTAGAAAGATATCGCGGAGCGATAGTGCAAACAGGTCAAACATCCAGAAGCGGCAAGCGGTCAGCTGAGGCAGAAAGCTCAGAGGTAAGCGAGGTGACGAAGGACGGTTATGAGAGATGGTGACGGGCCGTCACAGGGTCAACCAGAGTAGTCCAGCACCCCAATCAACTGCATCTTGGAAATACCGGTGGTTAGTTCGAAATGATGGATTGAATGAACAATGGCTGTCTATGCATATCATTACTTCTACTAGCCAGCATCAGCACAGCTCTACAATGCTAACAGTTCATGCCATTTACGACAGACTTGTTATTATATGGAATTATATGTTTTTCAGACTAAGTATTCAAGCTTCAGGGAGTAGCCAAGCGGGATCGGGCTCGTCATCCTCGTTGTCCGACCTGAAATTCGGTTCTGGAGACCTGTGTTCCGCATCCCTGAGTAAATCAGCTGGAGGTTCGGGATTGTCCACTCCAAGAGGATCTGTCAATGAATCGTTTCTATCGTCAGGAAGACGTGCATTTGTTGTTTCTCTTCCTGGAGCGGGCGATTTATCCTCCGTAGACGCATCAAAAGCGTCGAGCAGCATCTCTCGTGCTTCACGCAGGGCCTCAAGCTCCGCTCCAATGCAGCACGTGAGTAGCTTCCAATCCTTCTTCTCTGCAAGATTCAGGTGTTGTTCCACGCGGCTGGTCGTATGCTCCAGATCTTCTATAATAGATTGAACCTGATCATTTTCCGTATTAGCTTTCGAATGTCCCTCTGTCTCAAGAAGTTGCGACTGTGTCTGGATCGACCTGCGCATGGCCGACCTGAGTCGTTTCTCACAGCCTGAGACTTCCCCCACTACCTGCTTCCATACACCTCCACCTTCTTCAAGAGCCTGGATTTCAGCATCTACCTCCTGTTGCTTTTTTCGTAAGTCGCCTTGCTGTGTTGTCCAATGTTCGTGGGCCATTTCAAGAGTGCGGCGCTTAGGATTCAGGGAGTAGAACGTTGAATGACTGCTGGTAACCGAGTCAGGCTTGACAGGAGGGTCTTTGAGGAATTTCTCGATGTCCGATTCCACAAGAGACAGAGAAGCTTTGTAAGAGGACAATTTGGATTCCATGGCATCCTCCATTTCTGCAAGTTCTCGAATCACAAGCCGATGCCTTGCTTTCATTTCCAGTAGCCTAGTTTCCAACTCCTGAATCTCCGTCTCAAGCTGATGGCTCTCCTCAAGCAGCTCCTTTGAACGGTAGCTCTCCTCATTATCATGGATGGTCGATATGGCATCCTTCAAGCCAGCTCGTTTGGTCCTAAACCTGTCAACCTGTTCCAGAGCATCCGTCCTTTCGTCAAGTCGGAAGCTGAGTATTTCTCGTTCCTCCTCTTTCAGCTTCAGCAAATCATAGATCGACTTGAATATCCCTTCCCGTGCTTCACGTAACCCAATCTTCCTCGCGACGGGTTGTCGGACCGGTATGGTAGACGGGCTCTTGGAGCGGCTAAGTTCAGTCGGGGCGAAGCTTTGATTGGAGATGGAGTCAGTATGAGACTTTCCTGCGAGGCCTGCTAGGAGACCGTCACTCTGGGCGTCAATCAAGACCTGTAAACTGCGCTGTATGTGTTTCGTCTGGCGGTCAATGTAGAGAAGGGGGTCTTGCTGAGACGTAGGCGTTCTCAGAGGCAACGATAACAAATTCTGCTTCGCGTTCTTAGGAAATATGGCTGACATTTTAGAAGATAAAATATGGTCATTTGAAGGTGTGCACTACTACTCTCGGCGCGTTGTATTTAGAACCCGACTTAGCTAGGCTTAGTAGAGAGGGGGAAATATCGCGCTCGGTGGATGTCAAACCAGAAGAAAAGGGAAACAAAGAAAAGGAACGTTAACACCACAGAACGCCAAACAATGCAAGGAAAGAAAGAATGATCATCTGCGAAGGTGGTCATGTTGACATTTTGGCTTTGTTCCTTTCGCCGACTGTTCACCTGTTCACCATTCCATCATAAAATCACGTGATTACTCTAGGGGTTTCTGCAGGAACCACGGGCGCCTTTTCGTCAGCTTCAACCGTTGACGTGTGCCTGGCTGCTGTCGGAAGCTTGCTAATAATCAACTCACAGCTTCCTTCTCTCATCTGCTCCCATTATCTGTTTATTTTTGATTTACTGCCTCCCTGTAAATTTTGTATAACTCGGTATTTGCTTCTTCCGAATACTTTTGGCCTAGATCTGAGCTGATTCCCTTGTTCTGAAGCTCCATCTCGAAGCTATCGCCTCATCTCTCGCGATAGCAAAGCTGACCCCTTCCATCAACTACGAAAACCCGGTCTTGGAAGCGACATATCTTTCAAAGATGGTCGGACTTGCTTCGGCCGCCGGTCTTGTTGGCTTTCTCTCTGAACCCGATTTGGAGTTGAGAGTCTTCGCTCTGAAGACCCTCGATTCTCAAATCGACCTCCTCTGGACAGAAGTTGTTGACGCAGTGCCTCAAATGTTGGTCATTCCATCCGATTTCCACATCATGATTGGAAAAACTTCCTGCCAAAATTCTTTGTCGCTAACCGACTCTTGACATTCAGAGAAGCATTATACGAAGATGAGTCTTTCCCGGAGCGGGAGCTCGCCGCTTTAGTTGCGGCGAAGGTTTACTATCACCTTCAAGAATACAACGAAAGCATGGTGTTCGCTCTCGGAGCTGGGAAACTCTTCAAGCTGGAGAACGGTGGCGAGTTCGAGGAGACAATCATCGGTAATTATGGCAGTACTCCTCCGACTGATATAACCTTCGACTGACCTAAGTTTTCTCAAGCCAAATGTGTCGATACGTTTATCTCCCTGTCCGCTGCTCAAAGACCCGCCGCAGGCGACCCGTCTGCCAACTTGAACAATTCATTCCCGACGTCAGGTGAAGGAGCCACGAGCACGTCCGCCAGCCTAACATCTCCCATCACGCCATTCTCTCAGTCCACATTGCCGTCAAAGTCATTGCTGTCTCGGCAAGAGGTGCCAGGTTTGGACGCCGCTCACCCAGGAGGCGAAGACGTGTCTGTCAAGCATGATGAAACCTCTTTGGTTTTGAAACGGGGAGTTCAGGGCCAGCTGCAATCTGTCATCGAGCGTTTGTTCGAGCAATGTTTTGTCCAGAAACGTTATCGTCAGGTCATCGGAATTGCCATCGAAGCGAAGAATTTGGACGTACTCCGCAGGGCTATTATCCGGGCAAGCGAGGATGAGAAGAAACACGGTGGATCCCGTCGAAGCGAAGAGCTCATGGAGTACGTATTGGATATCTGCATGGGAATTGTGCAGGAGCGGGCTTTTCGCAATGAAGTATGTCTATTTTCTTATTTTATTTTGCCGTTGTCAGGCCTTCCGCTAACAACCGAGTTAGATCTTGAAACTCATTCTCGAGCTCCTGAACGAAATTCCTACTCCGGACTACTTCTCGATTGCCAAATGTGTTGTCTTCCTGAACGAGCACTCCATGGCATCCGTCATTCTTCGACAGTTGGTGGAGAAGGGTGATGCCAGGTCACTTGCCGTTGCCTACCAGATCTCCTTTGACCTTTACGACAATAGTACTCAAGAATTCCTCAAGAAGGTTCGCGAAGAAATTGCCGAACTTGTACCCGAAGCACAGCAACCCGACAGCAGCAAAACGGAGAGTCAAGAAGAGCCCAAGGAGTCTGATCCTTTGCTGCAGGACCAGTCCAGCTCGGAGCAATCAAGGTCTCTTGGATCGAACAATGCCCAGGCGAAGTTATCGGATGAAGCGCGTACAGCATTCAAAAATATACTCGAGATTCTCGACGGCATAAAATCTATTCAACTGAATCTCGAGTTCCTCTACCGGAATAACAAAGCCGACATTGCCATTTTGAACAAGGTCCGCGATAGTCTGGAGGCTCGGAACTCCATCTTCCATACAGCCGTTACTCTTTCCAATGCCTTCATGCATGCTGGCACCACACATGACAAATTCTTCCGAGATAATCTGGAGTGGTTGGGCAAGGCTGTTAACTGGTCCAAGTTCACGGCTACTGCCGCGCTGGGTGTTATTCACCGTGGTAATCTGAGCCAAGGCCAAAAGTTGCTGCAACCCTATCTCCCAAGGGAACATATTGCTGGTGTTGGCGGGTCGGGCTCCGTTTACAGCCAGGGTGGATCACTCTACGCTTTTGGACTGATCTATGCTAACCATGGTGGAATGGCTGTCGACATGATTCGGGATCACTTCAAAAAGGCTACGGAGGAAGTTGTTCAACACGGTGGAGCGCTAGGATTGGGTGTTGCAGGCATGGCCACTGGTGATGAGGGTATTTACGAGGATCTTCGGAACGTGCTCTACACTGACTCAGCTCTCAATGGTGAGGCCGTTGGTCTGGCTATGGGCTTGGTCATGCTGGGAACCGGAAACATGAGAGCTCTTGAGGACATGATTCAGTATGCTCACGATACGCAGCACGAGAAGATTGTTCGTGGTCTGGCTATGGGTATGGCCTTGATCATGTATGGTCGCCAAGAGGCTGCTGATGAGTTGATCAACGGCCTTCTGGGCGACCCTGACCCGACCCTCCGTTACGGTGGTATCATGACCATTGCTCTTGCTTACTGCGGTACTGGCAGCAACAAAGCTGTCCGCAGGCTCCTGCACGTTGCCGTTAGCGATGTCAACGATGACGTTCGTCGTGTGGCAGTTCTCAGTTTGGGTTTCATCCTGTTCAGAAAGTACCAGAGCGTGCCTCGGATGGTTGAGCTGTTGTCCGAATCTTATAATCCCCATGTGAGATATGGCGCGGCTATGGCGCTGGGTATCTCGTGCGCTGGTACCGGGTTGGACGAGGCGATCGACCTTCTGGAGCCCATGCTGAAGGATTCCACCGATTTCGTCAGGCAGGGCGCCTTGATCGCCTTGGCCATGGTTTTGGTCCAGCAGAACGAGGCTATGAACCCCCGTGTCAGCAGTCTTCGTAAAGCCATGATGAAGATGATTGGAGACAGACACGAAGACGCCATGGCCAAGTTCGGCTGCGCTGTGGCTCTTGGCATCATCGACGCCGGTGGTCGGAACTGCACTATCAGCCTGCAGACACAAACAGGCAACCTCAACATGCCCGGAATCGTTGGAGCGGCCGTTTTCATTCAGTATTGGTACTGGTTCCCCCTCACTCACTTCTTGTCGCTCAGCTTCACACCAACTGCAGTCATCGGCGTGGATCAGAAGCTTGAAGTTCCTTTCTTCAAGTTCCATAGCAACACGAGACCTAGTCTTTTCGACTACCCTCCAGAGCAGCAGGTGAAGGCTGAGGAGGCGCCTGAGAAAGTCAAGACTGCTGTACTTTCGACGACTGCTCAAGCGAAGCGTCGCGCTCAACGTCGTGAGAAACAACAACGGCGTGAGAGCATGGATGTTGATCAGACGCCCACGACACCTAAAGTGTCGGACCAGCTCCCCGAGAAGATGGAGACCGACGAAGGTGCGGAGAAGCCCGAGGAAGAGGCGAAGGAAGGAGAGAAGGGCGCTGGCGAAGGTCCGAAGAAGAAAGCGGAGCGGGAGAAGGTCGGATATGAACTCGAAAACATGTCCAGGGTTCTTCCTGCTCAGCTCAAGTACCTCACATTCCCAGACCCACGGTACGAGCCGGTAAAACGGGTGGGTTTTAAATCACATTCCATCCATCCCAGAAAATTGCTAACTATGCCCCCACAGCCTACCGGAGGAGTTGTTGTCGTGTTGGACAAGAACCCCGACGAACCGCGTGAAACAATCGAGATGAAAGCAAGCAAAGAAGTCAGACAACCCGCAGCAACCGCGGAATCGCTTCAAGATCGGCTGCAAGCCGCCATTGGCGCCGCGGCCTTGCAGACACCCCAACGCGATGCTGGTCGGATGCCTCTGGGTGCGGATCCCACCGCGGCCGCAGGGGCAGCGGCCGCCGCTGGTGTCCTGACCGCTGTGGATGAGGATGAAGAAGGTGGCGAGGAAGCCCCTGTGCCGGAGGAGTTCGAGTACGAGTCTGAAGGCATGGAGGAGTAAACGCAGGTATATTGATGCATGTCTACACGACGGTTGTGCTACTAGATTAATGATGATTTCACTTCTACTTTCAGCAAGGGCAATGAGAACCACTCGTGCTTGAGGTTTACACTTTCGCATCTTGGACATCAAGCCTTAGCCTGTTCATCTTGTAGATCATGATAGTATGTGATGCTTTTCGCAATGCAGCAATCTGTTTGTATCGTTCAGCACTGAGCACTAAGAAGCTGGAGGGTCTACCAAAAGAAATCTTTAACTCGAGACCTGATTACATCTATCTTCCGCAACAGATGCCTATATGCAGCCAAGAACCGTTACTGTGGAGTGTTAAATTAAGAACTACATGTATGGGGCCTTTTAACGAGGGCATCGAGAAAGCTTGGTGACATTGACCGGCTGATCCATGACCCATGTCTCCGAACGACGTTGATCAAAATGAGCCGATCAGAATCTAAGAGCGGATTCACATGGGAGGTGCTCCTGAACAGTCTGCTTGTAAAGTAGTACCCGAACAGTACCTGTCGAGTCTAGTGAGACGGGACTTCGCGCTGATTGCTCAATCTGGACTAAGGCGACATCACGTGTGGCTGGCTACTACCTCGGCAGATTCCCAATATGGGCGATCAGCACACGTGAGGCCATGACGCAGACGGACACTCAACAGCCAATAGCAGAACACACAATCACTGGCGGATGACCCTGCAGAGCATCATCTGGCCGAGGTGTTGCGCGTGTGTGCTGCAGTTAATATTTGGGGGGACATGGCAGCCAGCCGGTCATCACTCACCATGGCTGCTTTTTGGGCCGCGCATGTGAAAGATGGCCAAATACCACCCTACTTGTCATCAATAAATCTACCGACAATAACAAGCACTAAGACCTTGAGAACGGGGCTCAGTGGGCTCTTTTGGGCGGTTCCTCCGAAAGGGATATCCACTACCTGTACATTTTTCATGCCATTTACTGGCTGTGCTGGATAGCGCAGGCATATCGTCACTTCTCGTCCTCGTTATATCCTGGAACTCCGTGGTGGAGGGATCCGCTCATTGTGCCGAATTTCCTAGAGCCTATATATCCCCGAGTCCTCCTTGTCTCTTACCCCAGATTGTTTCTCTGTCCCTCACTTTTTTGACCACACTCTGCCCCATACCCCAGATAGCTTGTCGTTCTAACTGCGTGGGTTGCAGATATCTATACACTAGGCTTGTATCTATACTTTCGTTTTGCTCATAACATCTGTTTATATAGACAATCATGTCCAAAACATTCTCCAAAGACGACGTGGCGTCGCATAACAAGCCAGACAACCTCTGGGTGATCATCGATGAGGACGTCTACGACCTGACCAAGTTCCAGGACGATCATCCTGGTGGAAAGAAGAGTACGTCGTTGTCACATGCTAGATTCGAAAATTAGCGGCACCGGCGCTGACAGTGCGCATCTAGTTCTCTCGCGAGTGGCGGGCAAGGATGCTTCGAAACAGTTTTGGAAATATCACAACGAGGGGATCCTGAAGAAGTACAAGGGCCAGCTGCAGATTGGTTCTCTAGATTCGAAGAAGGCTGTCCCTGCCCCTACCCCTGCTAAGAAGGAGGCGCCCCGGCCTCAGGCTGCAGCGCCGGCTGATGTTGCTGCTGCGAAGTCCGACGAGCCTCTGGAGCCTTACGGTGAACTGGTTCCCTTCGCGGACCCTTCATGGTACCAAGGTGTATGTTCCCTTTTGCAAGGATCCTCCTTACTGCGCTTTTGAAACGTCCCGCTGATCGTCTGAATGACTCCAGTACCACTCGCCCTACTTTAACCAGACTCACGCAGCCCTACGCGCCGAAGTCAGACAATGGGTGGAGACCGAGATTGAGCCCTACGTTACCGAATGGGATGAGGCCAAGAAGGTACCCGACAGCGTTTACAAGCAGATGGGTGAGAGAGGATACCTTGCTGGTTTGTTGGGAACCAAGTACCCCACCCAACACACTCGCAACAGGGTGCAATCGGTTGCGCCTGAGAATTGGGATCTCTTCCACGAGATGCTGCTCACGGACGAGTTGTCCCGCGCTGGCAGTGGTGGCCTGGTTTGGAACTTGATTGGTGGCTTCGGGATTGGTTGCCCGCCTCTGGTCAAGTTCGGCAAGAAGCCCCTGGTTGACAGAATCCTGCCTGGCATTCTGGCCGGTGACAAGCGCATCTGTCTCGCTATCACCGAGCCCGATGCGGGCAGTGATGTTGCCAACTTGACATGCGAAGCCAAGCTGTCTCCTGATGGCAGGCACTATATTGTCAATGGTGAGAAGAAGTGGATTACCAACGGTGTTTGGTCCGATTACTTCACCACTGCTGTTCGTACCGGCGGGCCCGGCATGAACGGCATCAGTGTCCTCTTGATTGAGAGAGAGGCGGGTGGTGTCAGCACCAGACGGATGGATTGCCAGGGTGTTTGGAGCAGTGGCACCACCTACGTTACCTTCGAGGACGTCAAGGTGCCCGTGGAGAACCTGATCGGCAAAGAGAACCAGGGCTTCAAGGGTGAGTTGTTACGTCTTAAGTGCCCCAAACACAGACACTAACTACGTTCTAGTTATCATGACCAACTTCAACCACGAGAGAATTGGGATCGTCATTCAGTGTGTCCGGTTCGCTCGTGTTTGCTACGAGGAAGCCATGAAGTATGCCCACAAGCGCAGGACCTTCGGCAAGAAGCTCATCGACCACCCTGTCATTCGCATGAAGCTGGCGCACATGGCTCGCCAGATTGAAGCAACATACAACTGGCTAGAGAACATCATTTATCAGTGCCAGTCGATGGAGGAGACCGAAGCGATGCTCAAGCTGGGTGGTGCCATTGCTGGTCTCAAGGCTCAAGCAACTACCACTTTCGAGTTCTGCGCCCGAGAGGCAAGTCAGATCTTCGGAGGTCTCAGCTACAGCCGCGGAGGCCAGGGTGGCAAGGTTGAGCGCTTGTACCGTGATGTTCGTGCCTACGCTATCCCCGGTGGAAGCGAGGAAATCATGTTGGACCTCAGCGTTCGCCAGAGCTTGCGGGTGCACCAGATGTTTGGCATGAAGCTATAGTCCTTGGATATGAGATTGCAAAATTACATAGATATCCACCTTTTGTTCTAGCTCTGTTTTCAAGTTGCGGATTGCCTTTGATTCGCATTCCATTCGGCATGTCTGTACATTTAGGAATATCAATTGATTCTACCTTTCCAGACCATGCCTGAGGAAGTACTCATGAACTCTTCGTATTCAAGTATGCTCGATGGTAAAGCCTCTGCAACGACCAGCTAAGAGCCGATGAGATAATTTATAAATTGGGTTATACTGTTAGACAATGCTTTATGTCAGTATTGATGTAGAGAAATAAGAGCTTAAATGGAATAGAAATCTTGATGTCGAGTATCAAAAGAGGTTTGATGAATCGATCGACTGCTGTTGTGTTGCTCAGTCCCGACCGAGGGGCCTCCGGGTGCGCATTAAAACCACAAGCGCAGTCACCCTTTGCTTATTGCGCTGCCACCTCAAAGTTCCCTCGCCTTGGGGCTCAACCCAACTCTTTCCCTGCCGATTCACAAAAATAGCTGCTCGCACCATCAGACTCTGGTGAGCAGCTGTATACTTCACATTCTCCCACCTTTCAGATCGATTTTCCCGTCTCGGCAAAGGCAGGAACCCCATTCGTCGCGGTCGCGGAGTCGGCGAACGAACGGAGAAGTTGCCGCTCGACTGTCTGGCCAACTTCGACGCCCTGATCTTTTGATCATTGTCCTTCTCGTACGGAGTACTTTGGACCTCGACCGGACGTTCTATTTTCCCGGTTGAGAGCTAGGCTACTGTCTATTTAAACCAGTCGATATTCCCCGGTAGCAACTGTTTGCTCTTTGGATCTTTTCCCACCCTCCCTCTACCTCGAGCTCGATTGCGGAATCGCCTCGTTTCGCCTTGAGAGAGGATCGGTGCGCTCTTGTGTTTTATTCTCGATCTCAGAGATCAACTCACGAGCTCTCGAAATTCATTGTGCGAATTTACCAAAATCGTCACCTCATTACACAACATCCGCGCCACAACTAAAACATGTCACGGAATTTTCTGAACGAGGACTTTGGGTCCGACGAGGAGGACGATGACTTTAATCCCGCGCCTGCGGAAGAGTCTGACGAAGAGGATGTCAAGCCACAGGTGCGTGTCTATTAGATAAACTGGCTGGGATTGGTATAAATGCTTACGCGCTTTGGAATAGTCTACGAGTCGCGGCCGGATTAACGAGGAAGAGGAAGACGAGGACGAACATGCCGATGTTAAGCCCGAGAGGGCCGACCGAGAGGGGAGTGAAGATAACGTAAAGGAAGACGTTGATGCGGATGAGGCTGACGCTGGTGGTGAGAGATATGAGGGAGAAGACGAAGAAGAAGGTGAAAATGATGAGGAGGACGAGGAGGAGGATGAGGACGACGAAGATGAGGATGAAGACGAAGATGAGCAAGATGTCTCATCGGTAAGTGATGTAGCTTCCTTACTGAGCTGATGGCAAATCTAATCTTGGCTGTCTTCCAATTAGGGCCGTCCGAGAAAACGAAGGAGGAGATTGGGCGGCGTGCATACTTTCATCGATACGGAGGCCGGTGTCGACGAAGAAGAGGACGAGGCTGAAGATGAGGAGGATGAGATGGAGTTTGGCGCAGAGATGCACCCGGACGATCTGGATGCGCTCCCCGCTGGCGCGGAGACAGACGACCGCCGGCACCGACAACTCGATCGCCAGCGTGAGCTCGAGGCGAGTATGGATGCTGAGAAGCAGGCGCAGTTGCTCAAAGAACGTTATGGCCGAAACCGCGCCGCCGCCACCGATGCCGTCGTCGTGCCCAAGCGGTTGCTTCTCCCCAGTGTCGATGATCCCAGTATCTGGGGTGTCCGTTGCAAAGCCGGCAAGGAGCGTGAAGTCGTATTTGCGATTCAGAAGCGGATTGAAGAGCGGCCGCCCGGCTCTCGGAAACCCATCAAGA